TCAATCTGTTATTAATTGACATTTAGATTTTTTCAATCTTTCACTATTACCAACAGTGCTTCAATGAATACAGACAGAGTAAGTCATTTTATACATATGAGGGAATAATGTACGCTTTTGAGTCTAACTGAGTGGATTTGAAAACTTGAAAGGAACAGGATGAGTTGGGGCCAGTAGAGTTTCACGTTGACCTGAGTAGGAAGCCAGTGTATTTAGTTCCCTCTCTAGTAAAAACAAAACGAATTTAACTTAGTATCTGGTCAGGTAGATTGCATACTGTAGGAATGACCGAATATAAAGGCTTCACTCTGTCCTGTCTCTGATCACCTCAGGTAGGTGAGAAGCAGTTGATTTTAGGTACTCACATTCTCCAAGACCTTCTCTTTTATTCTTCCCCTTGCCCAACCCCATTTTCTTGCATTTTTAAAGAATCACAAATAGATCTCAAACATCCCAAACACAGGAATTTCAAGTGCTATCCGTCTTCTGTCTTTAGCCCCCAAAGAAAACTGAGACTCCTGTCACGTTAGTTAGATTTCCTTCCCTTTCCTTCCTCCCTTACCTGCTTCCTTCTCTCTTTTCCTTCTTTTCTTCCATTGACAACCAATAACCAGCCTTTACTAAATGCCTGGTGTATGCAAGACCTGTGCCCCAACCTCTGCCCTCAAGGTTCTTACTACCTAACAGGAGAGGAAGAGAGGGCAATCACTTTGGTTGGGCAGTTTGGGGTGGACTTCCTGGAGGGAAGTAGGCCTGGAGGCATGAAGAAGACCTCATGGGCAGGATGGAGGTTAAGGAATCCCAGGCACTGTTCCCTCCAGTTGGAAGGAACAGAACAAGTGAGGCCCAGAGGGGGAAGGTGTGTGACCCAGCCACAAAGAGCATCCATCTAGTATAGGGGGGCATAGCAGGCAAGGTTGGGAAGGTAAACTGGGGCAAGCTTGTAGGTCTTCCAGGAGCTAAGAGCCAGAAGATGTGTGAGCAGAGCAGTAAAGAAGTCAGAGCTGGAATCAAGTCACTGATGCACCGGGCAGATTGGCCTCCGGTGTGGCTTGAGGGAAGGGGAGGCTGGCATTGTGGGACCAGGTAGAAGGCCATCACAGAGGTCCAACTGAGAAAGAAGAGTCTGAGCAGTGGTGATTGGGGGAATCCTTAGTGATGGGAGGCATTGAGGGGCTGTAAATGGAGGGATCTGTTAAATATGTATATATACATATACATATGATATGTACCCTGCTTTTCTTTACTTATTATATTATCAGTATCTTCTCAGAGCAATCAATATTCTTTTACACCAGTACTTTCAATGATTGCATAAATCCTTTCTATGAACACACCATAACCATACTTCTAGCACAGGAGATTTGTGTTTTTTCCAATTTCACACTATTACAGATAATGCGTCAGCAAGCATTCTGGTGCATAAATACTTTCATCTCTGATTATTTCTTTAGGATGTACTCATAGAGGTGGGATTACAATATCCAAGGGAATGGAATTTGTAAAGGAGTTTGATAGGTATTGACAAATATAAACTCCCACCACCAGTAAAGTGGCTGTCTCACCATAAGCTCACTAACAATGAGTTTTATTATTTTTAAAAATTTTAGGCCATTTCAAGTAGGCTCCATGGGGCTAGAATTTTAGGACATTTCAAAGGTGAAAAATGACACCTTGCTTTTGATTTAATTTAATGTTTCAATTAGTACTGAAGTTGAACATTTTTTCCATATGTTAATTGACCATTAACATTAACTAATGTTTTTTCTTTTATGAAGAAACTGTTTATGCTTTTTGCTCATATTTCTATTAAGACATTAGTGGGTTTTTGTTTCAATTTGGCTTTTATTTTAGTTTGGGTTTTATGTTAGTCTCCCATGGATTTATAAGGATATTAAACTTTTGTCATATACATTGCAAATATTTTTCAGTTTCTAGTTTTCCTTTTAATTTTGTTTGTTATATTTTTGAAATCCAGGAACTTAAAATTTCATGGGGTCAAAATGATCAGTATTTTATTCCATTGTTTCTTTTCATACATTTTATACCTAAAAAACCTTTTCCTATCTTCAGTGTGTATAAATAGTCACCATCATATTCTTCTAGCTCCAGTTAATGCTTTCACTTTAAATTCTTTAATGCATTTGGGATTTATTTTGCTATTTAAGAGGTAAGGAGGATTTTCCCCCCAAATAATTAGCCATTTTTATTAAACACTATTTGTCACACACTCCATCCCTTCCTCATTGATCTGTGACTTAAAAAACAAATACAAGGAAAAAAAAAAGAAATATATATGATACCCGGATGTCTCAAATATTTTAAGGCTCATTTTATAATCATTTTTTCTATTCCATTGATCTGTTTATTTATTCTCATGTCAATACCACAGTGTTTTAATTAACATATCTTTAAATTGGTTTTGATATCTGGTAAGGCAAATCCTCCTTCATTATTCTTCTCTGTCAAAATGTCCTAACTTTTCTCAACTGTCTATTATTTCAGAGAAATGTTGAAATAACTTTGTCCAACTTTAAAGGATGGTATTTTTAATTTCCTAAACCCACAGGTTAATTGAAATAAAGTATTCCTCCATGAATTTTCCTACCTCTCTTCTCGGGTGCATTGCTGATTCTAATCCAACATAAGAATGCCCCTAAAATTCCCTGGCAGATGACAGAGAGGAAAATTAGAAGCAGGTAATAGCTCTCTTGGGTGACTAGTATTGAACATTACGCATTTCCTTGTCAGAACAATTAGAAAGGGGGAAAAAATCCCTAGATGCCTTAAAACCTACTAGGGAGTTAAGTGGGCAATTTCACTGCAGAAATTCCATGCACATGGATGTTACAAGAGTCAATGTGGCTTTAATTGCAAATGTATTGCTCGCACTCAAGAGAACTGCCACACACGGAGTGCCTGGGTTTTCTTAATAATCCGGAGTGCTCCTTCAGTCAGGTGGTGAAGAGCTCACATCAGTCTAAACGCAACCAGCAGCAGCCATTGCGTTTTGTCTCCTCTCGCCGCCCCCACCTCCCTTGTCCCCGCCCCCACTCGGGGTGGGGGAGTCATCAGAGGAGTCAAGCATGATTCACTTGGCTGAGTCAGGGTCAGACGCCAGGGATCTTAAAAATAGATGTGCTGGAAAGCAGATTTAGCTTGATTTCATGAAACATGCCATGTTACAGGCAATTGTAAACCCTGCCGGAAACGTCAGTATTTTAAGACTCCTTGGAGAAAATTCTCCTTTGGACCCCATTTCAGTGGAAACCTATGAAAAAGAAAGAATAAACTACTCCCTTTAAGTTCTCTCTGATTTTTATAAAGACTGTCCGTGAGGGTATGAACTAGTTATAAAAGTAAAGCTAAAATTCTTTATTCTATTGTGCAGAGCCTTACGTTAAAAGGACAGCGACGGGAGAGGTCTTTCTTGTACAGATAAAACAGTGTTTATCATTTCAAAAGAACTGCCTTGGAGTTTTATTAGTTTGGGTGGACTGATTGTCGTAACAACCCTCCTACTGAGGGGTTTAACACAATAACGCTTTATTTCTCAGCCGTGTTACAATCGAATGAGGATCAGTGGGGCAGGCAGACTCTGCTCCAGGCATTATTTCAGGGATGCGAGCTCCTTGCACCTTGCGGCGGCTCCCCGCTCCCTTTGGGTTATTGGAGTCCCTTCCTTTCAGCTGACAGATGGGAAAAGGAAAGGAGGATCAACAAGCCAGGCCTGGGCATAATACTTCCAATGGCCATCCTTCAGTCCCGTGGCCAGACCTCACTGCAGAGGAGACTGGAAAGTGCTGCCTGGTAGTGCGCCCGAGAAGAAGAGGGGAGGATCAAGGACACTGGGGAGTGCTAGTGGCTTCTGCCACAGGACTCCTTCATTCATTCACGATATTTATTGAATAACTATAGCGTGCCAGACATTATCTGTAACTAAGTTAAAGACAGCAGTCCACGGGATTGCACAGGTGCCTGCCTTCAGGAGAGTGTAGTCGGCTCTGAATCCTCACTAGCTGTGTGAGTTTCAGCTGTTTGAGCTGCTAGGTGGGGATGAATAGAGCTTGCAGTGCTGTTTGAGGACTGCCCGAGAAAATGTAGGGAAAGCCCCTATCACGCTTTGCATAATGTAGTAAAGCACCTGTTATGTGTTGATCACATTATTTGTCTTTAACATTGATTGTTAGCTATCCGTGTTAAGGCACAGAATTCACACAATATGCACTTTCCTGTCAAATCTCAAAATTCTGGATTTGTTTTCAACGTATATCAACATTTTTCAACATTTACAAATTAAATGGCTGGATTTTCTTTCCACCCAAGCATCATTTACCCAAAAAACACACACAAAAAACCACCTTAATCCTTCAACCCAGTTGATGAGTTTTATTATGGCCCATTTGTACTCTTACTGCTGAGGAAATAAAAACATACATTTGAGGACTCAGACACCGTAGTCAGTATAAATAGTGGGAGAATTGGTGAAAGGAAACTCATAGGTTTGCAAATTAAAACCCAGACATTTGAAGGAACGCGTCATCCCCTGCAGTGCTCACACTGGCCACTAGATGGCAGTGCCTCATAGGAATATGATGAACGCCCCCGGCGGCTGGTGGGTCTACTTGCTCTCGGACTTCAAGTCCTAACTTCAAAATGAACTAAAGAGAATTGAAAGGAGCAGTAAAACATGTCAAAAATGTTTTTGTTCTTAATATTGTGAAAATAAATATCTCTAAACACTCTCAAGAAGTTCTCTTGTGACATTTTATATTTATTGTTTTATACCTAGAGGCCAACAGAAATAATACAGTTATTATATTTTTATGAACGCTGAAAATGTATACATGTAACTTGTGGGGTTTTCTGAGTCATTTTCTGAGTGCCCTTTGGGGCTGATTTCTATTCTTGGCTTCCTATGCACATTTGGGAGCTGGTCTTGAGTGAGGCTGCTGATATAAAGTCTCATTTTTTCCTGGTTAAAAGAAAAAGAATGAGGCATCCACGTGGAGACATCCAGAGACACTGGAAGTGAATGGGGAATTCTAGCAGTTTTCATCCTTAAGGTGATCATAAGACTGTCCAGCCTGGAATGGAAACAGGTAATGTTTTGTTTGTTGTTTTAGTTATAATCGGTATCTATGGTTTTTCCAGAGAACTAAATATTGAGTGGCACTCAACAGATATGGATGGTGATGGTGCCTTACAAAAAAAACCTCATTAATCACCACCACCACCACCATCATCATCATCATCATCATCATCATCACAGAAGCTGTCATTTATTGAGGTATCACTGTGTGTCAGGCACTGTTCTAAGGGCTTTGCATGTATTATCTCATTTAATTCTCACTCAAGCCAGGTATGTGCAGAAGATACTGTTATTGTTGAGCGCCTGGGTGGCTCAGTCCGTTAAGCGTCTGACTTTGGCTCAGGTCATGATCTCTGTTGGGTCCTGGGATGGAGCCACCACCACCCCCGCTCCCCCCCCCGCCCCCCCCCCCCCCGCCAGCCCCGCACTCAGCAGGTAGTCTGCTTGTCCCTCTTCCTCTGCCCCTCCCCCAACTCGTGCTCTCTTTGTCTCTCTTTCTCTCAAATAATAAAATCTTTTTTTTTTTAAAAAGAACATACTGTTATCGTTAATTTACAAGTGGGGAAACTGAGGCAAAGAAAGGTTAAGCAACACGTCCACGGTCTAGTAAGCAGTAGATTCAGGACTTGATTGTTAAAAAAAGAAAAAAATGAGCCCTTGTTTTTTTTATATGTCACATTTTATTCCTCTTTTAAATTCTAGGCTTTGTGTGTATATTAGCATTTCCCTCATCAGGTGATCACTTTCACAGGACAGTCCTCATTAATTCCATATTAAAACCCTACCACTCCTCCCCCAAATCAAACTTCATTTCTAGAATGAGTCTAGAAAAAATCTGGCCAATATTTTTAAGAACTTTGATCCACAGCCTGAAGGAAGAAATTGAAGGAACAATGAAAGTAAAGAAGTCTTCCTGCTGTGGGGTGGTAGCTTATTTGCTTTTTCTGGGGACTGCCTGGCAGAGAGACCCTGGCCTGAGATGGAGCGGTCCCCATCACTGTTATCAGCCGTGACTGCTTAACACATTCCCATGGCTTCCTGTTGTTCCTGACACCCAAGACCAAGCAAGGACAGCAAACAGGTTGCCGAACAGGTTGCCGGGGTGATGTGGAGCCCCCCTGCCAGCCACTTAGGTCATGTTTCCCCTGCTTCACAGTGAATGCGTCCTGTCCCTTCCGACCTTCGTAGAACGTAGCTGAGTTGGTAAGGACACATTTGTATTGTTATTTGCTTGTCCCCCTAACAAGACAGCGAACCCCATCAGAGCAGCAACAGTGATTTCTGCTGTTCATCCCATCCAGCAGGGCGCCTGGTACACAGCAGGTGCTCCAGCCTGATTAAATGAAGAAACTTACCGTGATCGTATTTGCAGAAGAAAAACAAAAGTCCCATGATCTGGAAAAGGCAATTTTTCCAGATTTATTCATTTAGTTATATGAAGTCATGTAAAGGTAAATATACTTCATCACGTTTTCTATTATTCTTAAAAACCAACGTGATCGAGATCATTCAGTAATTTATGTGGAATCAGAACTGCAGGGAAGAGGGGCCGTGGGGGGTTGGGGGGCTGGTGTGCAGCCCCGCGGAGGGCCCGCCCAGGCGGAGGGGCCCGACGGTGAAGCCAACAAGCTGCTCCCCTAGTTGGGAGAAGAGTGTGGGCCTGGCACGGTGGAGCGGTCGCGGACGGCCTCAGGGTGGGGGCGGAGGCCAGGTGGGTGCGGGTGGTGAAGGGTGGGTGCTGCCACCCATCACCCCCTGAGCCCCCCCGCCCCCCGTGGCCCACCGCTCCCCTCCGTCTGGGGTAGAAATGAGCCCCACAGAGCTTTCAGTGTGGACCCTTTCTTACAAGTTCTCCGTAGAAACTTCGGCACTGAACCTGGGCTTAGTGAGAAGCAGCTTTCGGCGGTTCAGCCATAGTTCGGGGGCGTCCCTCCCCCGCTGTCAGGTTTGCGGTTTTACTCGTGTGTGTCATTGGAAAGTTCCCCCGTGAGGCCGGCCAAGAGCATCCATGTCGCTACACAAATGGGCTCGTGGTTCCACCGAGGGCATTGGGCAAGCCTTGGAAAGTGGGGCCATCAGAGAGGTGAGGGTCAGGCTGGTCATTTCGCTCCGGGCTCCGGTCGCACATTGGTCTTTGTGCTGCACTATTAGGAGGTGGCAACAGCCTGCGGAAGATGGGGTTGCGGGAGCAAGGGGGCACGTAAAACACATTTACGAGGCCTATGGTGGCAGAGCTTGTTGGCTGCTCGGAAGATCCTGGAACGACAGCAGTTTTGTGCCCCACCTGCCCTCCCTCCGCCAAGCCCCAAGTCCCCGCAGGGCTGTTGGTGTCCCTGGAAGGATCTCCCTCCGTGCAAACGCACACTGGCGGGGTCTCTCTCCCTCCACCCCCTCTTCCCTCTGTGCCTTTTCCCACCAAAGACAAGCAGACAGCATCCCCAACTGTACGCTCTCTCTCTCTCTCTCTCTCTTTTTTTTTTTTTTGGTCCACCAAAACCAGATCTCTCTTCTCCCTGACCCTTGACAGTTTGGGGGAAATTCACTAGAGGAAATTTACTTCGCATTTGAATGTTTCCATTGCTGAGCGTTGTGTGTGGTATATTAGCCATGGCCACATGCGCTGATACATTAAATAACCGAGGAAGATTTGCTTGTGAAGCAAGGACGCCTTTCCGTTTACAGTGGCATCTTTCCCGCTTCCTTGCTTCTTGGTAAAGTGCCCTTTGGCCGCCAGAGCCCTGGCCTGCACCACCTGTAGAAAAATTTCCCCCTTGCCTCTCTGTGTGGGACTCACTTCATCTCCAACCTCTGATTTTCATGTCTCTGAATTCCTCCAAATCTTTTGGGCTCATATTTAATAGACCTGTGTTTGTGTAAATCAAAACCTATAAATCGTTCACTTGGGAACCCGGAGCTGGTATTTTTTATGACTCAAAGGACAGTAAAAGCAGCCTCCACATAGGCCAGCCAGCAGTTTTGTGATGGAGTTATTAAGTTCTTTTTTTTTTTTTTAAAGATTTTATTTATTTGTTTGACAGAGACACAGCGAGAGAGGGAACACAAGCAGGGGGAGTGGGAGAGGGAGAAGCAGGCTTCCCGCCGAGCAGGGAGCCTGATGCGGGACTTGATCCTGGGACTCCAGGATCATGACCTGAGCCGAAGGCAGACGCTTAACGACTGAGCCACCCACCCAGGCGCCCTGAGTTATTAAGTTCTTGTTAGATCCCTGGCCTGATGTGCTGTGCATCTCCTGCAGCCTGTAAGGACTCCAGCAAGAAAGGGGCTAACAGACGAGCAAGCTCCACCCTGAAATACTCTGCAACCTCAAATACACTTGCAGTGTGAGAAACAATTCCAGTTTGGGTTTCCTGCCAAGGCAAGAATTAAGTATGGGGTGAGTGAAATCAGTTCTACCCAAATAGATCTTTTGCTGCATTGATATATTTATTAGCAGCACTTATTTGTTCCTCTATTTGTTTTTTAATACATTCTTTCAGAGCAGGGGTTCACAAAAGATGACCTACGTGCCGGGCCCCCCACACTAAGAATGGTTGTTACATTTTTAAATCGTTGGGGGAAAAAAAATCAAGAGAATAATATTTTGTGAGGTGAAATTACATGAAATTTAAATTTTACTATCCATAAACAGAGTTTTGTTGGGACACAGTCACACCTACTGGACCGTCTCTGGTATGCTTCTGTGGCGTAGTCGTGGAGTTGAGTAGGTACCAGAGTGTATGGCTTGCAGAACCTAAAATATTTACTATCTGGCCCTTTGCAGAAACCTTTTGTGGGCTCCTGTTCTAAAAAACATAAACGATGCCTCTTTGTGAAGAATTTCTCAGAATGCAAGGCCCCAAAAGGCTTTGCAATTCCTTTTTGCCTTCAGAAGTGCCTTTTCACAAGGGTCCCTGCTGAGCGACGTCCTGTGTCATCTACAGTTCTTTAGATTAGGTGGTTGTCCCCTTGAAGAATTCTGTTCAATGAGTATTTTTCCCCCCCTGGATGTTACCTTTCAACAGGGACAGAAACTCTTCACTTGAGAAACCTGTAAATCAGGCTTCTCATCCCTGGCTGTACTTTGGAGCTTTAAAAACTCCCAGTGGCCAACTGGCACCCCTGCCCATTAAATTAGAATCTCCGCTTGTGGGACCCAGGCATTGGTAGTTCTGGAAAGGTCCCCAGGTGATTCTAATGTGGGTCAAGGTTGACTACCACTGTGCAAATTTACGAAGGAAGAACCCTCTGCTATTTTGAAATTAGGGTTTTAATTGCTATAGCCAATTCCATTGGGAATTCAGTTCCTTTCCACACATATTTGTTGAATGTCTACAAAAGGGTAATGGCTCTGGAAGCTGTATCTCAAAAAAGAAATGAAATGGCTCCCTGCCTTCAGTAGTCCAGCAAGAGAGAGCATCAACACCAAATGAGGTGGCCCCTTGTTCCCAGATGGACCTCTATCAAAGTCATCTTTTCTGGGAACTAGTTAAATAGGCAAGAATTGGGTATGTAGATATATGGAAGCCAAAAAGTATTAATAAAAAAAGGCCTAGCTTTAGAGCCATCTAATGATCATTTCAGAAATGGCTACATCTATCATAACTATAATCTGTATGTGGGGAGCCTTCAATTTTGTTTATCATTAGAAGCAGCATCATCACAATTTAGATCTCTCAGGTCCTCCCACATACCAGCGAAGCAACCTGAGTGTGTCCCGTAATTTATTTTAGATTTGTTTTCCTCTTTTGTGAAGTGAAGGTAATACAATACCTACATCACAGGGTTGGTGGAAAGATTAGATAATATACACAGGAGCTCTTTTATGACTATAGAGTTCTATTCAATACAGTTTCTCACTACGCTGTGGTGGGAAAGACAGAAATAAACAAGGAAACAAATGTGAATGAATGCCCATGCTGGTGAGTGCCATAGAGAAAAGTTAAGCAGGAGAGGGGGTAGGAGTGCTTGAGGGAGGGCGTGAGGATGTTGTTTCAAATAGGATGGTCAGAA